CCTTTTGATATTTCTCTTCGTCATCTTCTATTACTTCATGTATAGGACATATTTTCCATAGCATAGCATATTTAACTAGCTAGGCATATCTTCCCTCAGTCTCTACCTGGGTTGAACAATGATTAAACAAAAAAAATAAAGTAAATAGCCAAACGAGTATGCCTTCGCTTTTATCTTATAATACAGCGTTTCCCCAGCCAACCCCCACGCCCGAACACCCAAAAGCACCCATCGAAGTGAAGGTAAAAAAAGGTAAATGTAAAATGTAAGCAAAAGTAAGCAAGCAATTAAAAGCCGTATCCCTGACCATAAGGCGTCGCACCGTACGGCGTCGCACCACCTGCCCCGCCCCAGACGCTCCCACTCCCGCCGGCACTCGGCCCAGCACCAGGGCCAGCTCCATTCGCACCCCCGTAGGCAGTGAACCCGCCATCGATACCTTCCGGAGGCTCATATGCATCCGGACTCCTGGCGCCAGCACCGTCCTGATCGACTCCACCGTTAACCATGCCGCCCTGTCCATCGGAACCCGTCAAGCCGGAAATGATCTCAGCGAGCTTCCGTTGCATCATGATGATACCCTGCTGCACCACTGCGTCGGGTTCGAGGTTTCCTATACTTTCTATATCGATGTAGAATGTGTTGGGGGTAGCATCGTAGTTGAACGGGAGGTCCTTGGGCTGGGCTGTTTCCCATCCTGCATTCGCAGATAATGGCCTACACCATAGTTAATACACTTGTCTCAGAGAAGAGTTGAGGCAGAGAAGAGTTGAGGTCTAACGACGAGCGCCATATTCCGACGCAGACAGATACTTACCATTCCTTGACGGGGTCCTCTTCGAACCAGTAATCCACATGACGCAGGTTATTATGCGGATCATACTCGAACCCAACCGCCGCCGTCGGCGCCCACTTGGCATGTTCCTTTGCAATACCCTTCTTCACAATACAATTGAACTTGACCTCCTGCCCTCTTCGAAGCTTACATATAATCGGCCCTTTCCCCTCGGGATCCGTAACCACGGGATTGCCAACCCACTCGTTCGCGCGGTCGCCTACAACAACCAGATCCCTGGCATACACTTTCATGATTTCCTCCGTGGTGCATTTTGCATGTAGTGAGAGGTTGATGACGCAGCGCGCACAGCCGGCTTCGCAGTCGCAGTCTCGCGAATACAGCATGTCCGTGTCGCAGTTTTTCGAGCAGAGGGGTATCAGGCCGAGACGATGGGAGATGAATTCGTCGGGCAGGACGGAGGTGTTTACTTCTATCTCGACGACGTCTATTGCGACGGTGGGGATTTCGGCGAGGATGGTGCGACGGAAGGAGTTGGCGAAGGCGAGGTCGACGGAGCTGAGGCGGAAGTCGACTCGGTATGGCTCTGCCTGTGGGGGAAGATGTTAGGGGAGGGGGACTATTGCGTATGGGTTAAGAGGATAGGATATAAGCTCACTTCGCGGACGGTGACTTGGGGCCCTTGGGGCTCTATGTCCATGGCGTCGTAGTCCATGGAGGGTAGATATAGCTAGGTATGAAGCAGCTCGGTGGTATTAAAAGTGGTATTAAGCGTAGTCTCGAGGTATATCAAGCTGCAGATGTCGTCGAGTAGAGTGAAGTAGCTGCAGTGCCGTTGGTGATGATAATTGACGGAGTCGTTAATTTGAACGAGTCGAGCTCTGCTTAGTAAATAGATTAGTCATCCCAAATATTACTAATGATTTAGTCATTAAATTAATCATCACTTAGTCATTATTTTATGCTTAATAATTTATTAGTCATCCGGAAGCAACGACATTTATCCGACTATCAAAAAAATTCCCCGATGGAAGCAAACGACCAGCAGTATTACGGAGTACCTAGGAAGTTATAGGAGGTCTAGGAAGCATAGGAGTAAGGAGGTGAAGAAGAGAGAAACGCCGTCCCATTCTATGCTTTTCGGTATCAACTGTTTTCTATCTCTATCACCAGACCATAACCAAAAAGAAGCAAAAACAGGGCAAGTATGCTATGCAAGTAAAGACCGAAACTCGTGAACCAATGCTTTTTTTGTCAAAAAAAACGATGCCAATGATGCAGGGAGGAGGATAAGGCGGTTAAAAGAAAAGGCAGAAAAAAGAAAAGAGGGCGAAGCAAAAAAGGAAAAAATAAAAAAAAAGATTAAAAAAAGAATAATATCCAAAAGAGATATCCAAAGATATGTAGTAAAAAAGTAAAATGCGGGGGAGAAGGAAGCGGAGGAGGAGGAAGAAACAATAACATCGAGAGAGTCAAGTCATCGTCACAGCGGGATATGTATGTCGGTCAGCGGGGGTTCTGTCTGCGTCAAGAGTCACCGCTTGATGGAGCTCCGGTTGAGGGCATCGAGCAGCTCTGGCCGGGCGACCAGGGCCGCGGCAGCCTGCGAGTAGGTCACCCATTGCCTCTTCCGCTTGTGCATCTCGGGCCACTGGCTCTCCTCGCGGTCGACGCGCACCTCGAAGAACTGGTAGAGCACCCGGGGCGCCTTGGCTGATATCTGGGTGGCACTGCGCATGTCGGGGATCTTGCCCAGGTCGGAGGTGACGGTGCAGACGACGCCGGCCTCCTCCCAGGCCTCGCGGACGGCGGCGACCTGGGCGGAGGGCTCGTCGAGTTCCCAGCCGCCCTTGGGGAGCACCCAGGCGCCGGGGCGGGCGGATTGGATGAGCAGGACCTTGGACTTGTCTGGGGAGAGGGGGACGACGCCTGCGACGAGGCGTTCGCCGGCGGGAGAGTAGCCTGGAGAAGAAGAAGAAGAAGCTGTCAGCGTCGTTCTTGATGTCTTTTTTTTTTTTCTTTTATTACTTCTGATATCTTCCCATCTCTTCAGTGCGTAGAGCGGCGGCGGGCGTAGCAGGCAGAGCGAGGACAGAGAGTGAAGAGGGAACACGTGCGCGAACCCCGGGCTGGGAGCTTCTTACGCTGGTTTGTCCGGCCAGTTCGGGCTTCCATCGTGCGAGTCGCCATAGTAGAGACAGAGAGAACAGGAGGGACAGGCGGGACAGGCGGGCGTTGGAGGGGCAGAGTAGAAGAAGCAGCAGCCGTAGAGCGGGAGAAGAGCGGCGGAGGAGTAGAGGAGGAGTGGAAGAGTAGAAGATGCAGAGTAGAGGAGGTTGCGGAGAGGTCGAGGTCGAGGTCGAGCAGAGGTAAAGGCAGAATAGGGACTAGCGCAGTCAACTACGTAATAGGAAGAGCCAGCAGAGCCAGCAGACGGCGACAGCAGAGACAGACAGGCTGCAGGACTGCAGGAGGAGAAGAAACGACGGCGAGAGATCGATTTACGATGTCTTCTTACTGGCCACAGCTCGCGTCCTCTACTTATCTATCTAGCTTGTCTGTCCCTTGCTGGGCCTCCCTGCTGGGCTCCTCCTGCTGGGCCCCCCTGGAGCTGGCCTGCATCTTCCCTGCTCGCTTTCACCGCCCGGGAAACGAAGGCGAGGGCGGCGGACGGAGGAGGCGAGGCGAAGACGGTGCCAGACGGGCGGATGGACTCGACTCTGGACGGGATGGCTAGGGATGCTCTCAGGGATGGATGCTCTCAGGATGCTCTCAGGGATGATGGCGTCTCTCTCGGGTGTTTTCTCTTGTTCCTTTTTTTTTTTTTCTTCTTTTTCTTTTATCGTTGCTTTTTCCTCCTCTCTGATGGGCTTCCCCGGCGCCCTGTCACATCCACCAAGGCCTGACATGACATGACATGACATCTACTCTTTGCCTCTTGGACTTGACTCCCATCCAGCTCTTCGACTTCTCTCTTCTCTTCTTCTTCTCTTCTTCTTCTTCTTCACTTTTACTCCGCCGTCTTTTTCGTCTTTTTCGTCTTTTTCTTTTTTCTTACTTCTAGCTGCTTAGTAAGAATATAATCACGTGATGCTTCCAACGACGTTTTGTCAAAGTAAATAAAAGAAAAAGCGACGACGAGATAGAAAGAGGCGAGGAAGATAGTAATAGATTAATAGCACAGTATAATAATAATAATAAACGATAATAATAATACTACAGACAGAAGACAGCATGGCAGACCTCAAGATGACGGAGATGTCCTACTTCTCGCCCATGGGTAGGCAGACCACTCGCTCGACCACAAGTTACCTACGCTGACCCTTAGGTCAAATAATAGGCTACCAGAGAAACACCTGCGGATACTGCAAAAGGGCAGACGGCAGTCAGTCGCCTCCTACTCACTTCTTATACCCCGAGATACCTCTGATAAAGCAGTGCATGCTGACTGGAAAGGCGCAAGTTACTACGCATCCTCCACGGCCGTCCGCGTCGAGGAGTACGAGGCCCTCATGGACCGCGGATGGCGCAGGTCCGGATCTCTCTACTACAAGCCCAACCTCGCCCGTTCCTGCTGCCCTCACTATACCATAAGGTAGCTCACCTTTTTT